CTTCCCTTTAGATACTCAGCAAGCGCGTCGGTTGGGTCCTATTGAATAGCAAGAGGCACCCATTAACGTTATTGCATTGCAAATTATTTTAAGTAGAGATACATAGATGATGGGTATTTTGAGTGAGTAAGCGACGATCGCAGAATAGAAGCAACGAATCTCGCTTTGGTCTTAGCGATGGGCAAGGCACGTAATGCGGCCGTTTTTGCTAGCGTATTTGCCACCGTAGAGGGACTTCTGGCAGACTTCACAGATGAAACAGGTGGCGTGGTGAGGCTTTCCACCGATCACCGCGTACTTCTGGTCACTGTCGATGGGCTCTGAGCATTTCTAAAGTAAAAACCTACTAATAAGTTATTTGGATGACAAGTGCAAATCTTTCTGTTTGACGATTGCTGTGCTGTCAGCACTATTCTAATTTACGAAAAACAAACGTCGATGCATTCAAGCTCATATTCTTCAGTTATTCGTGGATAAAGAGACAATTTAAAGTAGCCCGAATTTGTCAACTTTTCCATGCATGCGCTTTCATAGTTCGGCTTAGTCGACGTAGCTGTTCATTATGGGCGTCTTGCGCCAAGATAGAAGGGTTGATTGTCTGTGTGGGTCGACTTTTCGCACACCGAGGTCTCCGCCTCGCGGCCGTGTGACATTTGCGGATGAGAGAAGGTCAGTCCATCCCTCTGGCATGCAGTCCTCGTTGCTTCCTTCGAGCCCACTTTCACTGACGAAGGCGATACGTAACTACTTCTTCTTTTAACACCACGGCCGTTGCTATGCAGCGTAATAAGTTTTACAGTTTATTACCAAAAATTATTGTCTTGCTTTATGATTCAGGGTCATAAAATCACAAAGTGGAATTGCATTTGGCATGTGATGCGCCCCAAGAGAGAAAACGCACGAGATTGGGATGGCTCGCCACTTCTTGTGGTCTATGCTTACCTTGCTGCTAGATCTTAAGGTGGGAGCGACTCTTGAGTGAGTAAGGAAATCCACTTACAGCATTTTCAGGAACCAAAGAAAAGACGGCAGTACCGAGCCACTAGTAATATGTCATTTGATGATTTTTTTTATAGAAAACAGGGATCATTGTATTGTACTCCTACTACGACTTGGACTGTCATAACAATAGACAGTTGGCACTTCACATACTTAACTAAAGTGCCTCCCATACTGTGGATTTGCAGTCATCTCCAGGCGCAATAGCATACATGCAGTAGCTCGCTTCCTGCAGTCCACTACGCACACAAGGCGTTCTCCCTCAAACAACGACGACAACAACAACATAAATCAGGAATGGTGAGATAAAGTTCCACTTCATCATGAGAAAAGTATACTTTTGCACCCGAGACTACCTCGAAAATCTTTACCTGTCACTTTGGCGACACATCTGCCCTAATCTCTCCTCCTGGGCTCCTCTCGCAGTGCACCCACCTCAATGATGGAGGCACCTTTGTGTAGCATGAGAGACAGAGAATAAAAAAGGAAACTACAAGAGTACACACAAATTTAGCTCTTTAAAATAATGAAGTTCAGTTATCTGTCGCAAATGTTTGCAAACCGGATACTTTAAAAATGGATCGATTTGATGAAAATTTACCTCCCATTACGTTCACGAGATTTCACTCTCTTGCAGTCTTGGCAGTACGTTTTAATCACTTACACAAATCCACAAAAAAGAAGACGAAAACCAAACTACTTTGATTTCCTTCCCCTAATGAATTATTTTGAAGCGTTGGGTTAATAAACTACGCGATTTCCTATGGTCACAAAACTATCTAGGCCTCTGTTCTTCCATACTGCGATAGTTCGGAAGTCAAGGCCAAAAGTGATTTTCTCCCAATTATTTAAAGCCTCGGAAAAGTCAGTGGACAAATTAAAAGCAGCCCAGAAAAACATTTAACCGACGCAGCAGTTGGTGCCTACCCTAACAGCAGTGCCGTGAAGGCACGCTGGTTGTCAAACTCCAGTTGGGAATTCAGCAGTATAGAGAATGGCAAAAAGCTGTTAAAGGCATTTCTTCTCCCTTCTCCCCACCCTTCCGTAATGTCCTTACCTTCTATCTGTGGCATCGAACCTACCTCACATACGGGGCGGTGCTTGGCAGCGAAGCAGGTCTCACAGTAGGGCGCATTTAATTTGGAAGTAAAGGGCTTATCCACAAGATTGCAGCCACATTCCTCGCACACGAAACAGCCTGGATGCCAACGCCTGTTCAACGCCAGCACCGGCTCCACAGCGCCAATCGGCTGCATGCACTTGGTACAGTTGAGCATAGTCCTGTGGAGGTAAGTATGTTCTTCAATTTCACACACGTATCGACACCGTTATAAGTTTATGAGAAAATGGAGGGTCGAGCTGCAGTACTTATTTGTGAATCTCAAGGAAGAGGAGTTTTGTGCCGAAGTTTTGGCTGTTCTGAAAATGCTTTTTGTCATGAAGAGAAGGAAACTCAATCAGAGAAGAAAGAACGAAAAAATCTTACATTCTGAAGTTTTGAATTGCAGGATGGGTACTACAAAGCAGAATGTCTGTTGCGGTGCACAAGGGAGGACGAAGATTGGAGCGACAGTGGCGGGACGAGGGCGAGAAAGAATCTAATCAAACCTAGCAATCAGATAACACGGTCTATTTAAACCTCCCTTCCCTAACTGCTGGGAGCCAATCAGGGCTCGAGAGGATGCAAGTCGCTCCTTCGGTGTATCAAAGGGGTGAAGTCGGAACCCCCACCCTAATTGCACTTTCATTTGATGGGGAAATCAACGTCCCAGTGTACTTTTGGGACGTTGCACATATTATTAGAATTGATCACTTGAATAGTTAATAAATTGTGCTTCAAATTTTGACAGTGGCACAGATCTGATAGCTAAAAACTTAAATAATAGTAATAATAATATACTAACAAGTCAAAAATATTTACTCATAAACCCAGACTAGTTTAGTAAAGTAAATCTAAGGCTAAATTTCACCATCCTTATCCCTTCTATAGGCAATAAATTTTAGCCAAGCAATAGCAAAATGCTCGACATTTTGGAAAAGAAGAGGATGTAAGGGGAATGGTATTGAATGAAAGCAACTAATATAAGGGTGGTCATTAGTTGGTGCCAAGCTCAACAAACTGCAGGAGGGCGTTTCCTTACACTGCAACCGTAACCTCATTAATTTGTCTAAAGTGCACCGTAATTTGGCTACTTCTGAATGGTCAAGGCATCATCAAGACCAAATGAAGAAGGAGGTGTGGAAAAAATGGGAAAGGAGGGAAGAGAAGCGGAATGGGTTGAAAGGAAAGCAGCAGACTAACTGCCAATGATGGGGAGACATGCGAGGGCTGTTATCAAGGTCGACTTAATGAGGAGAGAAAGACTTCAGTGCGTTAAGAGAGCATTTTTAGCAGCTCAAAATAAGAAAAAATCTCGCCTTGAAGAAGAAAAGATCATGACTACGAAATGGAACAAAAGGCTGCAATTGTTTGTGTTACAAATCAAGTAGATTTTATTTCACAAATTAACTACAGAACTGATAGTGACAGTCACCCTTGAAGGACACCAGGCTTGGGCCGAATGAAGGGACTGAAGCAACACATCGCTAAGGCTACAGAGGATCGAGAGGAGCTTTAAGCAGGGCAGTTTTTAAGAATTGAATCTTTGGCTTCCAAAATAGCATTTGGGTTTTTAGAAGGCTTTTTTACAAGAAAAGAGTGCATTATTAAAAACTAAAGCAAAGGCAACTTCGGACGATGCCGTACCATCCCTCACATACAGCCAAACGTTTCGATTTTGTTAGTAAACTGCAAAGCAGCTCTCTAAAATTGCTGCTATGGGAAGTTTAATCGTTCACAGTTTCAGCTGCTTCTTAAGAAGCACTAAAATATTGCTCCCGCACAATGTGTACGTACTACTTTGCTGGTTTAAGGAGACAAAATGTTCCCATTTGGAGATTTTTTTAGTAATGTGGAAAATCGAGCGAATACTGAAGGAACATACTACTTACAAAGATATGAGTCTGATAGGATAGTTTAATTAAATACAAAGCAAATGTTATTGTCACTTTGCAGGACTAGCTTAACCCCACTAAGGCGGCTGCAGGACCAAAGCCGGAGCAAAAAAGTTCAGCCTTTAGGGATGGTACCCTCAGATTTGGTCTAAACCTCCCCAATCGAAACCGAAAGGGTGACAGAAGCTGCTTGACGATTAAAAGACACGCGATGGTTTCAGGTTTGGAGAATCAATCATGGGACCTTGGCGTCATTCCCCATCTTCTGATCCATAAATCATACTGTTAGTGATCCTCAAACTGTCCACACTTTTGAGACGCGCCACATTACTCTGTCTGATGACGCGTTACTTTTGTTTTTAACAACGGAACGTTTTGATACTCTCCATTCCGCATTTCGAGGAATTCAGTTGTGGCAGCTACCATAAGTGATTTATTCTCAATGACTGCGAGCACAGGTGAACTCTCCAACCGTACTGCGGTTGCGCCTCCTCTCAACTTGTAAGAACTCACTGTCAACATACGTTTTTAAGGCAGGGAACAAATAGTTTCGCTAAACCTCTTAATTACCGTGACGTTTTAAAAACACATATTTTCTTGGGAAATATAATGCATGTCATCTTTCCTTACCAAACTTTCAACATCCGACATAATTAAAGAAGGTGTGACATTTACTTCGCACCGTGGTCAAGATTACAAAATGGGCCTAATAGGGTTTCGCACACTTCACAGGACGAGAGTGGAATATTCGGTTTTCTTATCCCAAACAATATTTCTCTCTTGTCTGCATGCCGAGGTCACTAAATGCTGCCATAAAGGTGGCAGCTCGGTCCCTTCCCAATGTGATGGTAAGCTATGTTTTATGGCAAATGGCTGCAGTCAAACAATATAAGGCTGCAGGCAATATCTTTTGTCAGAAAACCAAAAAGCACACTTTCCTTTTTGCTGACGTCCATAATTTAATTTGAGTGAGCAAAGAGACAAAGATCTCCTAACAGAAGTCATTAAGGTTGACAATAAATGCACATCTATGGGACACTATCCGTGTGTCCTCGAACTTGGTTCCATTCCCGACATATGCTCAAGTGGAACAACTGGAACCCAAGTACAAGCAACGAAAGATTCAGGTGTGAAAGTCGCCCTTTTTACACCACTCTCGAGGAAATGCGGCAAAAGTGCAAAAGGGCGTGCGTATATAATTCTAGTTGCTATGTGGTGCGCATTTTTTGCACAATCTCTTAAAACACTTCCCTGCATTCATAACTTGCGGTCTACGGGCGTAGATGATTTTTATCTTGTGTGTATTTGCACACTTTCTTGAATGAAGCAGTGGAAGCTCTTGATTTCTCAGTGCTAAGTAATCCAAATTCCTAGGTCTGGTAAACGTCTTTTGCACAATATTTTTGCTGTCGCTTTTGTTTAAATGACATCCGAATGTGGAAAAAACTTTTACTAGACTTATAAAGTAGTAAAGCATGTATGAAGTTACTTCATAGTAAAAGGAGAAAAACAGCGCATCAGCACATTAATTTTACTAAAGTGGAAGAATTTGTATTAAATTACGGCCAACTTAAATGATTGTGTGCAAGCACCTTATTGCATGCTATTCATCTGTTTTATAGTTTTAGACACCAAACCTAGCCTTTTGTTGAGAAACAGACCTGCATATAAACCCATAGTGATGGGATTTACATACTATCAAGCATGTTGCTAGCTTTAGGAAAAAATGGCACCTTTCAATGGTTGTTGAAGCTCCTAACGTGTTGTAAATTGTTTAAAGGCGAAAATATTTTAAACTCCGATTAAATCCATTTTGTCTAAGAAAACTGGATTTTGCTGTATTTTATTGATATTACTAGCTATTAATGAGTAGTAAACAAAATCCAATAAATTAGCTGTTTTAATTATTTACAGGCTTTCGATGAGATTTTGTTATATTTTTACCATTGCATAGGAAAAGTGATCAAACCCTGCGCAATCACAAAATGTTTCTACGAAACATTGAATGTGGCTAACAATTACTGATCAGGTCAAATAACTCAATATAATTTGGGCAATCTGTAAAGAACAACCATGTAGGGCCTGATTTCTAAGACCTTGTGTTTACTTCTTAAAATTTGGGCTCTGTCAGGACCAAACCACGGTCATTTGAAAGGTGACCTAAGGGAGAATGAACTCAGCAATGCTGGTTATCCAGCAATCCTTAGGGCGTGATTGTGACGCGTACTGAATTTCAAATTAAACTGAAATATCCTGACCTTGATGTGAATGGTATCAAAAGACTAGCTATATAAAAGTAAGTAAAAACAAAAGGAACAAAACGTATAGAATATTTTATTGCACTCAGCAAAAGAGGTTTGCAAAAGCATAAGCAACTCTCGGTGAATGAACGCATAGGCTCTATTGCAAACGGCCAAAAAATAACCTGTTTAAATCGGCTTTCTATAGAGCTTACGTGCTTGCGGTAGAGTTAAGCAGGACCGTAAAAACTATAAAGATCAATTTTAGGTTTAATGTAGTCAATTGTATTTAAATATATAAATCCTTTTGGCGCCAGATTTCGTGGTCACCAGTCGTATCTCTGCTCCTCACTAAATCCCTTTTCAGTCGAACAAATGAAGACCACTCGTACAGCAATCGGGGCTTGCAATCAAAGAGTTGCATGCGGTATGTACCGCTCATCCACAAAAAAGGAAAATTGCCCTCTGGTAGTGTAGTGGAATGTGCTGATAGAAGTCTCACTTCCATTGTTCTTAAACGAGAACAAATCTGCGCAACACGAAGCTTGCTAGCAACAGACAAATTTGAGTAAAACCATTGAAGCAGCTATGTAAAACTGATATCCGTAAGTACCGCTTTGATTGTAAATTATGCGAATACTCTATAGCCTGAGCTTCTTTCCCCACGTGGTTTTCCTCAACTATATTGTGCATGCTGTACCAAATTCTCACCATCGCCTGGCATATGATAAGAACTTGGTCCTCCAACCATTGATCTCGGCCACATTCACTATTGCCCTGTCGGTGACAGGGTGTCTGCACCATCGACGCTTGGGTTGTAAAATTCCATCCTCCTCTGTGCACTTTCAAGGAAAAAGCAGGAAGATACCCTCTAGGAGGTATTAGGTGCCTCGTCTGTCTTTCCAAATATGTCCTCAACATGGTCCCCAATGCAAAATATTTAAGTGGCAGAAATAATCTCGTAAAAAGAGATGCACAAAATTCTTTTGTTTCTAGCCCGCTAGTTTAAAAATTTAGTTGATTTGTTGGTTTGCCACTGCCGACTTCCACTGTACTTTAAATCCATACCAATCGTTTAGGGAGTAAAACACTGATATTTGGAGTATTTGGGCAGTAAGAAAGTTAAGCGGCCTTATTTGATTTACTTTTTTATTTTCATCAGAAAGACGTAATGAGCAAGTTCATTGCCTCCAAAGGCTATTGCTTCGAAAGGTAATGAATGGCAACACCTGTTACCCTGCGGAGGTGATTTATCGAGATTGTGACGATACAACTAAGCTAAAGGATGTTGTGTATGTCTGGAGATCTTTCCATTTTCACTTTTAGATTAGCATATCCACAATGCAATGGAACTTGTCCCACAAACTGGAAAGTAGAATGCATGATTAGGATGGATGTCAAAGATTACGGAGTCGGAAGAAATTTCTCGATTTGTTCGTAAATGAATCATTCCGCAGAACCATGTTGGGTGATAGTGCTACTTCAACTGTTGCTCTTTAGTTGAGAGGACTGAGTAGTGTCGCTAAGTCATAATTCGAAGTTTGTGAACATTTTCCTGGTAGCCCCTTGTAGGGTGCTGCTATGGTTTGAGCGAACCCACTATTGTACTGCCTGTATAAAATGTAACCTCAAGACATCAGTGCGTCTTGTGCTGGCGCTATTGATGGTGTGAAATTTTACCATAGTGGTAGACCGAAGAGGCGAATGTACCCTCGAAGTGACTGATTTGTATCCTATCGGTAATTATGATGGTTGTAGTGCATTACGAGTTGTACTCCTTCCTAAGTAACTTTTTCTCCGAAATTAAAAATCTCAAACGTCGCAGATGATGAACTTTTTGCCAACGCTTCCAAGTACGACTTGTCTTCTTAACCCATTAAATATCGCCCCGAACTCGTCCCAGGACTCGAAAATGAGGACGACTGTAGTCATCAACAACGTTAAACCACATGCAATTTGCCAATTTAAGAAACAGCGGAATTCGCAAAAAGCAAATTTTAGTTTAAAGTGGACAACTGTTGCCTTCCAGGGCCACGGGCATTTTCCTCCTGAACCATATATCCAACAGTGGTTAAAATGTTCCAGACAATTGCAAATTATGTGCACTAATTAATGTGTCTGCTGGAGATCGGCCAGAAGAGAGAGAAATGAGTCGGACGGGTGGGTCGAATAGGCTGGCGGCGAGAGAAGAGACAAAGCGACTCTTAACCTCTTTTTCAAGCTGAACTTAAAAGCGGCAACTAATATTTTATTAAAAATTGTGCCTTACTACTTAAATCCATTTCATCGCTACTGAGCATGCAAGCTCACGTACCAGTTATGCTTGTCTTTCCGCTTTAAGCAAACCATGGAACAATTTTTCTCCCATCCAAAAAAATTGCTCGATTGCGATTCTAAAAGCTTCAACATCAAATTCTTTCCAGCATTTCCTTTTGCATTGTCTATTTGGCGCTTCCATTTGCCATGAAGAGGCAACTTCAGCTGGATGTGGCGCTATAAGAAGGGAATAGGATAATGGGGGTGCAGCAGTTTGCCGTGCTGTCCTTTGCGAACAATGACGTGAGACGGTGTCATGTGTGTCATATTGTGATAGCTTTAAGGCACGAAAAGTTGGAAGAAGGTCTGGAACTTTTGACTACCTACTGCCCAATCTCTTCTCAGGAGGTGGAGGAAGAGGCCTCTCCGCAAGTGCCGCTGTCTTGAAGTGAAAGATTTTCCAGCCCACTGGTGTATTAGTGTGGAAAGTTTAGTCTTCCACAAACGAATTTGTGCTTCAAAGGCTAAAAGGTAGGTGAAGGAATGCCTAGTTTCCTTGTTTTCCTCCGTTTAGGAAGTAGAATGTCACCTGCGTGGGAGTGACAAAAATAATGTAAACATTTACTGATCGTTTTCGCGGAGTGATCTGAATAAGGTGACTTAGAAAGCCCGATCTTTCGACCAGGCGTAACCTCTCAACTTGGTGAGTTGTTAGTGGCAAAAAGGCGAAGTCAAATTAGGTATTAACTTCCTTACCGTAACTCCATCGAATGACTTCAATACCGCATCCTAACTTGCTCTCCATTTGGAATCCGATTTTTCCTTAACCCAATTAAGCAGACCTAACTTTTTCCGTTTGATTTCCCATTCCTTCGTTTGAGGACTACTCTTTTGGGTGGTAAGCCACATTCCCATTAATGACAGTAGCGATTTTCATTTTTGTGGCCTTTCGAAATGGAGGTATGATGGTTAAACGCGAATCAGTTGCAAACGCTGTGTATAGATCCAGTCTGACTCAGTCAGCATTTTATTCCTTAATTTTAGAAGATGCAAACTCAATCTAGGTTGAAGAAGGAGGAGGAGAGAGGGGGCGTCCAACCCAAACCCTGTAGTAATGACCACAAATACATTTTGTTCAGATGTAAAGGCCTAACATATTTGTTTAAAATTTGACCAAAATGAAGGTTCATCATTAACACATCTATTGAGTTAGTTTTTCCGCAATAAAAATTCAAACTGTATTGATGACAGGGTCTCTTTCTTGTATCATGTACAAACAGGTATCCACGCCCGTGCCCATGAAACGTCAACTTTTGAGGGGGAGGGGGGGGGTATTCGAGAGACTTTTGCTCTGCGTGGCTCCCCACTCTTCTCAAACACGCATAGCGTGGAGTCAGATGCGGAAAGAAGGCCTCCATTTCTCCACGGTGCACGAAGATTTTCACTATTAAGTGACAGAAGATGCAATGATAGTTTAAAAATTTGCGTCATTTTAAACAAATGAACACAAACTAATCTTCAACTCTAACTCACTAAAAGGGCCGTGGAATTTTACAAATTAATGTGACGGAAGTAATTTATGAGCAATAAATTATAGAACAAAAGTCTGCATTTTTACAAGCCCTTTTCCCTCAAGGTCCTATAAAATAAATATCGCTGTTAATCTAAAATTTGTCAGTACTATAAACTTCCTTTGTTGGGTTTGCTCGCGATAAATATTCTAAGTTAATTTATCGCATCAAGTAACTTTCCACTCACACACTCCCCACTTAGTGGTCAAAGGTTTTCGGTTGGTCACTGCTGGAGGAAAATATTTCGTTGCTTTAATCGCCAATCCGGACAAATCATGGGCTGTAACTTAAAATTTAAAAACTAAACGCTTTTCAACTGAGTTCTAGCCCATCTAATTGTCTCCCACTAACGTACATTTTCCCAATGTCTGGATAAACATGTCATAAATTTGGCATTTTGACATGTGGGGGCGAGGTTAAAGGGGAAACTTAACTTCTCCTAAGACGAGCTGAAATGGAGCATTGAACACGGTGCACAAATGTCCAATGGGAGGTGCGGACCAGGGTGGGAAGTATCGATGGATTCCACCGAGGTTCTGTGCAATTGGTTCAGAAGCCGCCAATGATGGCCTTATAAGGGAGGCAATTGGGATCCAATGGTAGCCCTCAATTGTTTTGCCTTATCGGGTAAGGAAGCCCTTTGCTCCTACCACCACAGTTCTAAAAATCATATAAATTTCTGATTTTTCGCCTCTCTCGAGCAAGCAGCCATAACGATGGTCGAAAAGTGCGCTAAGTGTCATGGAGACATCACGGGTCAGGTAGTGATTGCTCTCGGTCAGAAGTGGCACAATGAATGTTTCGTGTGTTTGGGCTGTCGAACGCCACTTCAAGGCAAGTCGTTCTTCAACAAAGACGGATCCATCTACTGCATCGATTGTCGCAAAGAGAAGTTCGACCCTACCTGTGCTGTATGTGCTCTCTCTCCTTTAAATTTACCATGCCTAACAAATTTACCACCTCTTCTATGCTTTCCACCTTAACAGAAATGCTTCAAGAAGATTGACCCTACCATCAAGTATTCAATCTACCAGGACAAGACGTATCACAGAGACTGCTTCACCTGTGCTCAGTGTAGACTGCCACTTGATGGAAAGAGATTTGTTAGTAAGGACGGCCAATTTGTGTGCGCCCACCACTAAACACCACCCATCGGTCACTAACCAATGCAAACGTTGCTTGTTTTGCCGGTTTATTTGAAGCTACTCCATAGCGAGCCTTTTAAGGCAATAAAAGAGGAGCGTTAGTCTGTTTTCCGTTCTTCAATCCGATTTGCGTTGGTGTGAATGCTTTCAGATCCCTTTCCTTGTCGGCAAAGCTAAACAGTTCTCATATGTGAAAAGACCCATTTGTCTTTCCCATTATGTCTGTCAAGCAGAATGGCTTAAGAGGCAACTTTAACAATTTTAATACGTCACGCTTAGTTCCTGTCATGAAAAGAAGAAATAAGTGGGAGAGAGAGAGAGAGCAATACTGGCAGTGAAGCTCCAAACAGCATATGTCCCAGTCATTTCCTACTCCACTGTGGTTGCATTAGCCCTTGTAATTAGGCTTCACCCTCGAAAGTGTGAGTTTTGGGTGGGGCAGACGAGAACGTACGAGAAGTGTCTCCACACACAGTACTTTCTTGCAATGGATTGGGGGCAGGAGAAGAGAGAAAACTGTAAAATTGTCTTTTCCAATTCTGTACTTGTAGGTACATGCTCTAAAACCGTTTTACGTGTCCTGATCTACACAATCTGTGTGCCCTTTTTGCTTTTTCAAAAATGCTTGCAAAAGGATGTTAATGCACTACGGCACAAAACGACTGATTGATTTTAAGAACCGTTTTGGGTTACAGGATGAAACAGAAAGGGAAAGTGGAAAACGGTTTGAAATCCTCACCGTCAGAATCTAAAATGAAAATTCATTTAGCATTTGTTTTTTAAATTGACGAGCAACATTTTGCGTAATGTGACTTTACAAATGTTCCATTTTTTAAAGACAGTTCTACTTTTAGCAGCAAAAATTGAACGCCTTCCATGAGAAGGATCAGACTGTCTGATTACTCGAACAGACCAAACTTGCAGCACTCATGGAGAACCTCATTTGCGGAATTTTTCCCTTTAATCTAAAAACAGATGCAGTCAAAACATGGAATTCTACTGAATTCCCACTTTGGCGTTACGTCCGTCACCGTGTCAGGGTTGGCCGTTGTCGTTGGCTAAAGTAATTGGGGAGGAGCGTATTTTAAGAGGAGGTCGCATGAGACAGTTGGAGGAGGTCATCCGCTGCGAAGCCTTCACTAAAAGACATTTTGCGATGTCAACCCTCCTCCTTAGCCCTCATCAAGACTGCGCATATCAACAAAGTGAAGTAAATGGTGGTGGGGTGGAACCCAAACGGTGGGAGAAGGGCCCTAATGTGTGCATTGTTCTAAAGTTGTTGTGTTTCGTGAGACCAGCATTGTTCGCTCTCACCTTTTTAACTCTGTGATCTGCAAGTAGGTGGTCGGGTTCCGTGATGTTAAAAGAGGGTAAAACAGTGGTTTGCAGAACGTTTCTTCTCAATGACCAACCAGACATTTGTACCCTAACCTAGTGTCGTCCATTTGTTTTGATAAACGTCTGCCTATTAATAACACCTGGCCTTGTCGACTGTCAAGGCCACACGTGGCAGTGGAACAATTTTAATTTTATTTATTTTTTGTCTGCAAACTACTGCCTTATTTACTCTGTGAGGAAACAAAGTAAGTTATCGAATAGCTCTCATTGTTTTCGTTCCAAACCATTTTGCAAAAGTAGAAGTGAATAAAACTGACCCATTCTCAAAGGATGACTTGTGTAAATGTTTCATGTTCTCCACAAGTGAGGCGATCGGCCTGCGATGATCAAGGCTGAATGCTTTTCACTTTGTAATACTACTTCCACCGACATTGACAGATGTCAGCAAACTTCCTTCCTTCCGTTACAAATTAATGCCAATTAACAACCATCATTAAATCCTTCCTCCTGTTTTGATTATATCCTACATACCCTTCCCTGACTCTCCTCTGATACAAGAACTGGAGAGGAGGATAACAAGAGTCGGCAATAAGTGAGTGATATCGAGCCAAGACGCCTTCTTTGATCGATAAATTTACATTTAATGATAACTCAAGTGCCATGCGACAACATGGCAACGTTCTTCAGCTATGCAAATGAAGGCCAGACGATGCGTAGTGGCCAATATTTGCATTATTCCATGCAGAATTTTTGATATTTATCTGCCTATTTCATCACTCTCGTTTTCAACTTGGCTGTCTATCAAAACTGATAGGCAACTTTTATTTTAGCTTTCAAATTGACGAGCATTTTCTCTTTCCTGCCTTTTCAGCCACTTTAACCGTAAAAGCACCATTTGCGCCACTAGGACTTCTCGTCCTAAGTATAAAGAGCAAACATCTGGAGCCAAATATTACGGTGGAACAATTAAATTTAAAACTCTAATACTTCGTTATTTTACCGGTACCAACCAATCAACTTATTTACTCATTTGTATAAATTCTGCCATTATTGCGCAAATCTTGCCTGTTCAAACCATTGTTCACGATTTTGTTTTTGGGTATAGCAAAGGGGAGGGCAGGAGGTGGCAGAACGACATTCACATACATTGATGTCACCCTCTGGCCAATAGGAATTAGGAGAGAGTGGCTTCAAGGTCGCTTGCTCCCATTGGCTCCAGGGCATAGGAGTTACTTGTATTTATAGACCATTGTAGTCAGCTAACCAGTCAGGCAGCTAGCTAGTCAGCCAGACGTCCATATCTCGACTCTGTCTGCATTTACTCGAAACAGTGGAGTAAGTTGACATCTGAAATTTTTGTCCTTTTCATTTTCCCTTCCTTTCGATATGGCTTGATCACTTTTAGCAAAAGATGGTTGATAAATGTGCCAAATGCGGCAAAGAGGTGACTGGCACCGTGGTGACTGCTATGGACAAGAAGTGGCACAATGATTGCTTCGTCTGTGCCGGATGTAAGGCCAAATTGGCTGGCAAGTCCTTCCACAACAAGGATGGCACTCCCTACTGCATTGATTGTCGCAGAGAAAAGTTTGACCCCACCTGCACGGTCAGTTGTTGGTACCATCTTAGTCCCTTACGCTAACATCTTTTAGAGCAACTTTGTTTGTTCATTAATTTCCTCATTGTAGAAATGCAACAAGAAGATAGATCCAACCATCAAGTATTCGATTTACCAAGAGAAACCCTACCACATGGAATGCTTCACCTGTGCTCAATGCAAACAACCTCTTGATGGCAAGAAATTTATCGTAAAAGATGGTCAGAACATTTGCGCCGATCATAAATAGATTTAAAAAGGCTTTGTTTGAGAGTGAGTGGGAGGAGACGGATTTGGGAAGTTGATCGTTAATTTCCTCCTTTTCTTTCCGACATTCTAACAACAGCGACCCATATTTCTAAAATAAAATCAAATCTTCTCCCTCTCATTAACAGAGAAACAACAAATATAATCTGCTTTTGCTTCTTGATAAGATCTTCGATAATAATTGGAGTAGACATTCGAATTATTTGTATAAATAAAAGTTGGTCCTCTTCAATATTTCTTTTTATTTTGGTAGCAAGATTTTTTGGGTACAAATGAAAGTCGACCGTTCGAAAGATACTTTTAGCAACGATATTTGAGTGACAGGTGAAGAATGAATTCCCGTTACTAAAGAAACCTCTCATAAAAGTTAGACCGTCCTTCTTCTGAACACCCTTTGTGAGTTGTCAAACGAGGGTGACATTTTTGCCTGAAAAGGGCAACACCTTTATTGCCTTTCCAATGCACACTGAAATCGTGGGAAAGTGAGTGATGAAGGAAGGCAAAGTGGTCTCCATAGCCGCCCATTCCTTTACCATCCTCGTCTTTCAGCCTCAAGGCATCCAAGCTGCCACGCCAACAATCAACGGGTAACGCACTTACGTAGTCCTCAAAGACAGTGAACAACGGCATACCAACAGACTAGTACGTATGCAACGCTTGTCCTCTTTTAGCTCATGCGAAACGGTGTCTGCTCCACAATATTTCAACCGTTCGAATCCAAAATAAAGGCGATTGTAATACCAGTTTTGCATCAAGCTCTTTCATTCTTTACTAAAAAAAATAGGTTGAGGGATGTTTACAAGGTGGCAGACATTTATTATGCCATTACGAATTAAAAATTAGTAGGGAGAGAAGTCGCTTCTGAACCCTCTGCTCACCACATGGCGTAATAGGAAAACGAGTTTTTATAGGAAAGTTGCCCACCTTCTATAAAACCACTTCTGTGAAAATGAATTATGAAGGCTTGATTCGCCTTTTGGGAGGCAGAAGAGTATTTTCCTCCATGAGACTTTCCTTTTAGACTAGTGGTGACCTTGAGGTCTTAAAATCCGCCCCAACCAATCAGATGGTTCTGTCCAGGTGTGAGGACTACAACGGAAGCGATATCGATCACCGCTATGAGGATTGCAGAAACTACATCCGCATTTTTTCGTGTGTCAGCTGTCAAGTGCCACTAATGTGGCTTAATTTGGAGTTGCTTTGAAAGCTAGCGACACTCTGCTAAAGGAAACGAGGAAATGACTGAATTTTCGTATTTCAAAACAGGGAAGTGTTCGAGAATTGCAATTCCATTCCGCATTGCACTGCACAAATTAATTTTCGAGTAGCATGCAGGCGTTTTAATTTATAGCCAAAAAAGAACTGCAAAATTACAAAGAGGTGAGCAGACCTTCTTACGTTGCTGTGTAGAACCCCATTCTGCCTTCTTATGGACAGATTGTACACTCTTTCATTGACATATCTAAGAGAGAAATGCTGAGAATATAAGAAATTCATAAGTGGATGAGTATATAAATAGTGTATCGGGATGTCATCGACGCGGTGTGATAAACTGGGATTGAACTCCATTCACACACTAATTGCGCCCCATTCGACATCTGTGTTGTGGCTTCCCTTGTGGTAACTTCGAGTTTATTAGGTTCTTTTTAAAGCTGCCAGGGAGAGTAAAGTTTACACACTGTGTGTAAGTTGACGCGATGATATGTGAGGCTGATTTAGGCCCCCAAAAGGTAGATGCATAACCGCAGCTCAGTCGCCACTTTGTTTCGTGTTATGAAGTGATTAGTGTTAACTGAACACTGCAAAAGACTTTCACTTTCAGGTGACTTTCAAAATACTGAAGGCAAAATCTAATCATCGTCATATCTCTGCTCTCTGTTATTACCTCCAGTGAAAAACAGAGTCAAATGAATGGCTTGCTGATAATTTTCATCCATTGAGGCGAGGTGGTATTGAGGGTTTGTTCTAAGGGAAGAAAAATCCTTCATTTTTTAATTTCACACAAGCAAGTCAATCAATTTGGCCTTAATAAACCCCCATTTCTGCCTCAGTTGCTTCGAGCCTGTCAATTAAGCTTGACAATTGGTTATGTGGTCTCAGTGCCAAAGGGGCAAGTGGTGATCGTAGCATTGGTGGAATGCCATCCAAGTTAAGCGTAGGGTGAAAAATGCTATGCGATGACCCAAGTCTTCCTATGTCCAAATTAAAGTTTTGCAATGGAGTTAGCTGTGGAGTTTGGAGTTGTAAAGTGGTTCTCAGAGAATGAAGTCCAAGTGTTCACATTTTCCACACTTTCGGATGTTTCTGAAGGCGTAACAATTCTACGGTGTACCAACTTGTTGCACCACAACACTCTGGCCTTTTGACTTATGGAGGGTGTTTGGTAAAAAATATGCCAACATTCGACCGCACCCACACTTACAATCCCACGCACGCATACGTAGAGACGCACATTAACACACGCACACACACACACACACGAAACATGAATTGATGCGAAGTGTAACTAAGGCATGCGGAATGGTAAGTGATTGGCTAGTATAGGGGACAATTAAGGCTATGGATTTGCTTGGCACAAGAGATCATTACAGCCGGTCACTTGAATACATTTTCGCTAAACTGGACAGCTTGGCGCGCCAAGGCTTTGATGCACCGTCTTCGTTATTATAAGGGCAGAAGATGGTCGAAATGCCGTGTTAGTCTATGAATATTGGCCAACTGTTTGATAATTTAGAGATTGTTTTCATATGCTATGGCGAAGTCAGAAGAACAAAACAATAGCTTGACTTCTGAGACCTAGGCTTTACGAAATTTTGACTAAGAAAAGCAGACACCTTCATAAGGTTTTGTGTTTGTGCCTCACTCGAGTCCAGTCAATTTTGGTGTAATTTTTCATTGTAGCGCTGAGTCACGCCGAAATGCCTATAGCATAGGCCTCCGGAGACAGCAAATTGTTCGCGTACTTTAAAGACGGTTTGCCAAACTTCCTCGAAACAGGACTTTGACAGCGCTCTCGAGGATTGACAGTGCCACATATCTCCAGCCCACCAGACAACAGAGACAGGTCATAGATCCCTGCCATAGCAATCTAGTCCGCCTAAATTAAGATAAATGGCAATGATTTGGAAACACATTCTTCAATGCCATTCCCTTCCATATAAGAAGGAGGTAATTAACCTCTATATTATCTTTTTTTAATTACTGTTATATTAAAAAAATCAAATGAGCTGTCTGACATTCGAGACTGCGGAAAGTTGAGCAACTCCCCGGTTTTTCCCTTCAAAGGGCTCTGCGAATTACCCTTTCGGTAAGAGGCTTTTGGATTTTCAGCCGCTTTTGCCCTTGTCGCCTCCTACTTACCTCCAGCCTTCCAGACGACCAACTTGAGCAACAGAAGATTCTCCAAAGAAGCATGATTTTTAGAGAAAATGGCAATAACAATACGCGCCATTAAACCCTATCCCAACACTTAATTATAGCTCGTAGAAATGTACAATTTCTGTCACTTTTTTAGCCATTTTCTGCAAACGTCACTTGCCTGGTACTTGATACTGCCTAAATCTCCCCACGCACTATCAAAATTTTATTCCACCAATGACCGAGTTTAAGGAAGTATGCCCACCTCCAAAAAGTATCAATTTTTTTCCCTTTTTGAAAGTCAGAGGATTTTCCTCCAAATATGCTTCATTTTAAGGGCATAATAACCAATGCTAGGACTAGAGAAATATAAGAGGTTAGGAACTAGTCCTCGGGTAAATTAAACTTTGCCCGATGTCATTTTTCCAAAGTGCAATGAGGAAGTCAGTTTCCATCTGAATTAAAGCTAAAGTATGTCATCCACTCAAGTAATGAACTTCCTTAAATGGCAGGGATTTGAATACTCTCCCCCATTAGGCAGCTTTGTGGAGAAATATGTGAGCCCATCAGGTCTGAACATTTGTCTTCGCTAATTAGTAAGACCACAGCAAACCGACTTTATCACATGATTCAACGAACCTTTGGGAGACAGTGTTTCGGAACCCACTCTTCCCGTAAGCGTCCAAAAATTTCGATTAGAACAAAATTATGCATTAACTCTACTTCTGTATTTTCATTTCACAATTTTAGGATTATTTATTTAATGCAACCAAAGGCCTGAAAATTTGCCATTATTTGATTTGTGCAATTCTCCAGACAATTAGACCTCAAAATAGGTGAGAAAGGCCGTCAGAGCATTTCCTGAGTTGAAGAGCTTGAAAACCTTCCAACCCATACTTCATAAAGTGCTTCTGCGAATGTTTGAAAACAGAATAACTAATCCCTTGTTTTTAACCAGTGTTAGTTCTCCACACCACACAAAAACGCCTACTTGCCTTTGATTCAGTAAACCTAGTTAGAAAACATCGTTAGCAGAAGCTTCCCACTTTACCCTGGGCCACAGAATAATATTAGATATGCACAATGCAAGTTTGCTGCCTACATCAGGACTAAAAACAAAACGATTCAACTGCAGCTTCCCGAATCTTTGGCGAACCGTCAAACCTCATACTGTTACAAAATCGCTCCTTAGACCCTCAAGCGGTGGCAGCGACATGTAGCCCTACATCAAGAAGAGAATGAACTCGATCTTGTCCACCAACCGCGTACAGGACATCCGCATTTACTAATCCTACGCTCCCGTAGGGGCCCATACTATGAGTAGCCGGAACATGATTCCCGCTAACCACCACTCGAAACCCCTCATACGGGATGCACAAACGAAAGTGACGACACCGAAGGCCGACAAATCAACGTTATCAAATCGACAGTCGCATTTCCAACGCAATTCAAGGAACGATGCAAACCCATTACGGCTGATGACCCTACAGGCGCGCAGACCCGGGGCGTTGTGCTGATATGGTAGACACTGATCGCACCATTAACATACACAACGCTGCTAGCACGAAAGCACCAGCGGTGAGAAAAGGGGAAGCCCCAACTCTAATCACATAAGCACGATAAGCGCAAG